CCATCACTGGATTCGTCCCTCACCAGAGAAGCTACGGTTTCTTCTTCACTACCATCGTCGGAATCCTCCACCTCTTCACCGTTGCCATCTTCCCATTCCAAATCAAATGTGTTGTCTTCTTCAGATTTCTTCTCCCAATTCCACTGCCCATCTTCTTCAAAGACGACATCGCGACTGATAATAATCCTCTTAGAGGTAGGATCATATAGTCTATATGCCTTTGATTCTGCACTTACACCAAAAAAGACACAACAACGACTCTTATCCTCAAGCTTTCTTCGCCGATCCGGTACGTGAGCATATGCTATACAACCAAAGATTCTCAAGTGCGTAACTGAAGGTATCACCCCACACCAAGATTCCTCTGGCGTTGTTTCCTTCACCGATGATGTTGGACATCTATTGAGAACATAAAGTGCCCAGTTTACCGCCTCTGCCTAGAATTTTCTTGGAATATTTTTCTCAACCAATAAGCTCCTCACCATATTTATCACGGTTCTATTTTTCCGCTCGGCGGCTCCGTTCTGTTGCGGTGTATATGCAGCAATTAATTGCCTCGTGATTCCATTCATTTTACAATATTCCTTGAACTCATCTGATGTGAATTCACCTCCACGATTTGTTCTTAAACATTTAATGGACAGGCCTGTTTCTTTTTCAACAAGAGTTTTAAACAGCTTAAAGGTAGTGAGTGCATCTGACTTACAAGCGAGAAAATACACCCATGCCTTCCTACTGTAGTCATCAATGAAGCAAATGAAATACCTCTTGTTTCCCTCAGAAAATGGTGAAATCGGGCCGCAAATATCAGCATGAACCAACTCCAATTTTTTCGACGCTCTCCATGTAATTCTCCTTGGGATTACATCTCGATGCTGCTTCCCTTTCAAGAAATTTGTGCACACAATTTCACCCTCCAGGAAACTGGGCAAGCTTCTCACCATGCTTTTTGTTTGCAAAGTCTTCAGTCCTTTGTAACTGAGATGACCAAATCTTCGGTGCCAGAGGTGAGCCACGTCTTTGGTGTCGTCGGTTGTTGCTTGGAAACACTTTTCTTTGCTTTCACTTTTGATTGATTTAGTGCTCGAAAACAACACGAACATTCGATTTGCTTCCATGTTAGTTTGGAATACTAAACCTTTTGTGCGGTGATAAATCCGACACTCATTTGACTGCATTAGTACAGCCAAACCCCTTTCTTGTAGCTGCCTAACACTAAGAAGATTATTCTTCAAGCCGGGAACATAATAGACATCCCGTACAAGGAAGTTTACTCCTTTTATTGTCAATCGGACACTTCCTTTTCCGAAAACATTCATGCTTGCATAATTCCCCAATATAATCACCTTGTTGAACCCTTCTTCTAACTCACAAAAAAGCGAAGAATCACCACACATGTGATTGCTGCACCCAAAATCAATATACCACATAACATCTCGATCGTTTCCAACCGTGTCGACATACGCCATTAGCACCATCTCTTCTGATTCCTCCAAACCAGCATAATTTTCTTGGCACTCGTACTGGAAGTGTCCAAGCTTATGACATTTGTAACACTCAACTGTTTCCTTACTCCTCGGTTGCCTGCCCCTGCCTCTGCCTTGTCCCCGACCTCCTCGAAAAGTAGCTCTTCCTCGCCCTCTTCCACCATAGCTCTCTTCATGAGTTACCTTCAAAGCATGTTCCTCTTCTCCACTTACTTTGAATTTTTGCTCATGAACAAGCAGAGAACTTTGCAAGGCATCCACAAATAGTTGATCTATGTCCTTGGCTTCCTCAATGGACCAAAATAGGGTTTTCAAAATCTTCTCAACGATCTTGACATCATCCACATCTTCTCCCTAATTCCTCATGTCGTTTGCAACCGTCATTACTCGACCAAAATAATCAGTGATCGATTCACCTTGCTTCATTGCTAAGACCTCAAAGTCCCACCGTAGACGATTGAGCTGAGCTCTCTTCACTCGAGCAGTGCCTCGACATTTCAACTTCATGGAATCCCAGAGCTGTTTAGATGTCTCCTTCTGCGTGATCGTCTTTAGAATTGACTTGTCAAGCGACTGAAACAAGTAATTCTTAGCCTTCAAATCCTTCAGCTTCATCTCCTCCAAGTTCTTTATTTGCTCTGCCGTCATTCCATCTCTACTCTTCGGCTCTGTGTAGCCTGATTCAACAGCAACCCAATACTCCTTGGATCGAAGGAGATTCTCCATGACCATACTCCAATGATCGTAGTCGCCGTCGAACTTTGGAATGGAGGTTGCTGCAAAAGTTGCTTATGAACCCATCTCTTAGGTCACTGCTCTGATACCAGAATGTTAGATGTAACAGGAACAGAACAGAAGTTCTGAGAATGACTTGTCTATTCCTCGTTAAAATGCAGTAAAATAAATAGAGAATAAAAGGAACATTGATGTAACAAACTACAACCCACTTCTAGCTAGAAATAAGAAAACAAAACTTGACTGAATCAGTAAACAAACTATCCTAAAAACTAGGACTATTATTTGACTAAATACTTAGCAAATTGTTTTATTAGTAATTTACATTAAAGATTTTATAAATAATACTTTTTAATAGAGATATGATTTATGAATATCTCCTTAATTATAAAAATATTTTATTATTAATTTATATTAAATATCTTATGAATAATATTTTTTTAATAAATATATGATTTAATAAAAAAAATTAAAATTATATAAAAATAAGTTTTGGGATTTTAGAAGATACGAAGAAAATAAGTTTTTGTTAGAGTCAGAATAGGATTCTATATGTATTTGAGCTTTGTTCGAGGAGCAGTTAGATAAACCCCAAACTACTATTATTTTATTAATAATATATTTTTATTTTATCTAAATATGCAATTGTATTTGTTACTAAATTTACAATTGTATTTGTAGTTTATTTTTATTTAATATGTATTATGCTTCAATTGGTCTCTACATCGAGTGTCACCTCCGACCTTTCAATCATCTTTTTCTCTTCAACATTTAATAACATATTATTCTTTCAAGGTCTAGGAGTAATTGAATGATATTGTCAATCTCTATATGAACTTTCTCATTTTCTTATGAATTCACTATAAGAAAATTAGAGTTTTACAACACAAAAATTGCGACACTTACTTGATAACCGTCGTAACTCTAATATAAAGACGCGTTTCACGACAATATACACCTACCGCCCTTACATTTTTAAAAAATTATTAAATATTACGATTGTTATCATTAAACCGTCTTACAAATAAGTTCATGACTGTCTCAAGAGCCGCCCTAAATTTTATGTCACGGCGGTAGAACAACTGTCGCCCCTTAAACCCAGTAACACAAACTATAACCAATGGCTGATCCAAAGAAGTCTATGTATTTTGAATAAATAAATGACTAAAAACATTTATAAAATATAATTATAGTAATAAATTAAACTTAAAATACATAAAAATAAAAATATTATATATACTCAAAATAAAACTTTAATTTAAAAAAAAATTTATAGCAAAAATTAAATTCAAAATATTATATCCAAAATTAAAGTATTAAAATTAAACTATATATCAAAATTTTATAAACTCAAAATTTTAGAAACAATTTTTATAGTAAAAATTAAACATAAAATTAAACTTTATATACTCATAATATTATAAAATATCAAATAAACAACAATTCAATCAACCTCTATTTATTAAAGAGAAATAAAAAAATTTATTAAAATAAAACTGTATTATACCGACTGAGAAGCTACCATAATTACCCGTTCAAAATTGTCAAAAACTTCACCCTCAGATTCTCTCACAACCGTGATATCTACCCTCGTCCTCCAAAATTTCATCTTTTCTGCTAAAACTGAGTACTCATTCCATTTTTTATGTGTATTTTTCACTTCTTTTTAAGAAATCGCCGCTCACGTCCTTGGAGAAAGATGAAAACTGACATTTTTCTCAACCGCTGACGCTGTCATTGCGAACCACCGTCAAAGCAACCACCATCAATTCGAATCTTAACAGGTTTGTCTTCTCAAACCCTAAATTACTTCTCAAACTCTGAATCAGATCCTGGTTTGGATTTTACTCAGAATTTTGTATTTAATTGGTTTGGATTTTACTCTGAATTTTGTATTTAATTGGTTTGGATTTTAAGCATTATGTGTTAGATTTCTCTGTTTGAGAGTTAAATTTGAGTAAGAAAAATGGATTATTTATCTGTGTGGACGTGTCGTATCGAGTTTCTTGATGCTGAAGGGTTGTAAATTCTGGTATAGGACCTTTATTTGAAATCTTGTGTGCTGTTAATTCAATGGTTTTATTCTGAGTTGGTGTCAGTCTCGATTTTGTTTTCAGTGATCATGTCTAGCTGCGGTGGTTGCTTTCTCTATTGTGCTTGTTGTTTGATTTTATGTCCTTTGCTTGTTTATGAGTTTAAACTTGTAGCTTGATTTTTAATACATTGTTTATGATTCAGAACAAGCTTCATAATATACTTGCGATTTAAATCAAAATATCGGGTTGTGTTATTTTAGACTAGATCTTCTATAGATTTTTTTTGAAAAAGATATAATTGTTCACAGTAGCCAAATTAGTGTTGAGATAGAAAAGTGGTAAAGTGAGAATCACTGAGTTCAACTACATCACAGTGTTGAAATAACGGCTTCCTTGGTTATCCCAAACTCCTTGTATATTTTTCATCCTGGAGCATTAAGTAGTAAGCTCCACAATACAAAACACTGCCAATTCTAAGCATTAAGCAGTAAGCTCCATAATGGCAGCAACAATGTCTCCATTGGCAACTTTGAGAGCTTTAACAGCTCTTGATCTTGGCACACTAGCTTGAGCCACCACCAACTCGATATCCTTGGGATCAACATCAGTCTCGTCTACATCTTCCTCTTCCGGAGAAATACCGGAGGATTCTGGCTTCGCTCCAACATTTTTCAAATTAGGAGCCTTGAATTGTTCAGATGCCTGAGTTGGTAGCTATGAACTTAAGTCCTCAATCTTAGCTTCACCAAAAATAATGTAGGTGTTGGAAGTTGGGCTTTTGGGCATTGGCAGTATCAATCTTAGCTTCGATAAATGTTATTCGCCGGTCCTTGGCAGTATCATACACCTTCACTCCTGCATCATCCGCCCAAGCAACAAGATTTGCTCTCCACTTCAGAGCATGTATTGAACCTTCACCAGAGTGCAAAACCTTTTTTGGGGAGGAGAACAGGGTAATTTTTAGCTAACAGACCAAAAATACCATCCAGAACATATGTACGGCTAAGATTTACAATAATTTTACAAACCTGGTCTCGATAGCCCAACCATTTCTTCGAATTTAAATATAAATTACCAGCTAAACCACCAACAATAAACCTCCTAGACATTTTCCTTGTATCATCAGGATCCAAAGCAATTGCCTTCATGGGGCGATGGTACTCAAATTTCATTAACTCATCGGTAAAAAGGCTGTTAATAACAACCAATCCTCGTCAGAACAACTTCCAATATATTCCCCTTCTATATCAAATCTAAGGTCATTCACAATAGAAGCATGGGCATATAATTCTTTCACCTGCAACAAATTCACTGATCAGAAACAGCTTTCAAAGTCACTGTTCAAAACAGGCAGAAGATGCATATAGTCAACAAACGAACCAATATCCAAATTTCTTGACACTCAGCCAGAAGATAATGTCAATTAAAACAAGTGGGCGCTGGTTTGTAAACACATGTAGTTAGATAATGGAATTTCAAGTATGCTTAAGTTGCCAAGACAAGCTATAAAAGGGTTTCATATGCTGGACTATCGTTTGGTTGTGTGAGCAATAAGTTAATTGATTGGGCAATCAAAACATCATTATTTTGTGCGTAACAGTTTCCGCTATTTGAAAACCATGTGGCAGATGCATGATTTCTATCACCATGTGGCTGATTGACATGGTTGATGAAACTAGATGCATTGAAAAAAGTTATTAATCAACAATTAACAAACTAATGTTATTATTAATTTATAGTAGGAAATATGAATAGAAAAAAAAACAAAAACCTACTGATTCATCACTGGCATGAGTAGACTGTAAATTAACTGACGTCGGTCCATTTCTTGATGAATTGTTAGCATCAATATTCTCTCACCAGCAGACGTTCCTGAGCTGTAGTTTTCACACCGTTTGATTAATTAATTTACTTTTATTATTACTATTTATTACATCTAGTCATTGAAGCATGATTGCAAAATTGAAACATATATTGTAAATGAAGATTGAATAGAGATATGAGTGAACCTTGTGAGAAACTCGGAGATTGGATGAGCAGACAAGATAGGAGAAATGTCACCGTTAAGTTCAAATTGTTTCAAGTATCCGATATCAGCGTTTTGTGAGAGAATCTTGGCAAGAACATTCTCTTGATGAAATCTGAGTGAAATGAGAGAAGAATGAATGAAGAATGCAGAAATAAAGAAGAGGTATTTATAGTCACGTCATCTCCGTCCAGGTTAATGTTTACGCCGCCACGTAGGCAAGCCGAAGGAAATAGTACATTTGGACGGACATATAAGGATTTAATGGTGGTTACTGGGTGCTCTCACCGGTGATGCTCCCGCCGCTTTTGCTTTGCCGCCTAACGCTGCTCTTAACCCTCAAGCCATGGCTTCTCTTAAACAAGCACAGGTTGATTCCTTTTCACAGGTTGTAATAAATGATAATTTTTCTTTGATTTGTTTATTATAGGCTCTTGCTGGAGGTCAGGCTCGGAACTTTGCTGTTATGACTGGAGTGAATGCAGGTATCTATATATTAGAGATAGATGTAGATAGGTTAGTTTGTGTGCATGCATAGGTTAGTTGTGTGCATGCATAAGTTAGTTAGAGTAAGTATGAAGGTAGTTAAGAATGTAACTAACTTCATCGCCTAACTACATTGTATAGATATTCATAAGGTAAGGCTTATTTAATAACATGAATTGATCACAAAAGTATCAAGCTAAACCTGAATTACTTTATGCATGTCCATCATCTTCCTCATGCATAATCATGTTCACCAATGAAGTATGAATTCTCTCATCTAACACTATATAATGTATGTTTGTTTTACCTGTAATTATTTTTGCCTAAATTAACTACGCCTGTGAGTGAAATGTATAACTTCTCATGCCCTAAATTATATATTGTTCTGTCCAATCATTAACCTTAAAATATTGGTGTACTAGTTTCAATTGGATCTCTGGAAGTGATTTTCTTCATATAGGTGTCTTCAGAAAACAGTATTTGAGTTTTTTAAAGTGAAAACTAAATAGGAAAGAAAGTGCAACGAGTTTAGGATGTACGTGTAATTTATCAGATTTTTTTTATGTATGTAGATAAATAGTTATTGTTTAAAAAATGAAAATAATGGATATTGAAAGGTTTTCTTCAATAATTACATTGATATCCTGTTTAAAATTAAATGTATGTCTTGGGTTCATTTTGGTTAGTTTGTGATTATGAAGCTAGAGTGTAACTTTTGTCTTTTAATGGCATCTGATTATGTTGCTGTAAATATTTGTATGTAGAGTGTTTGCTTTTTTTTATAGGATTTGCTTTGAACTTCACTGTTGTATCTATCTATGTCTATTTTTTTGAAGAATTTATTGATTACTAAGCCACAATCATCGATTGCATATCAACAAGGGATAAAAGAATTTATTGATTTTGCATTTAAAGGTGCAAAAGAAAATGACGTAGTAATATGCCCTTGCAAACACCGCGGTTTCAAAAAATCAAAGAGTAGGAGTGACATGTTCGACCACTTAATGTGGTCACCATTTCCGCAGGGATACACCATGATCAATGATGCATTTGGAGTTGATATGAATCATGCTAATGAAATACCATCTGCGTCAAATTTAGAGATTGGCTAAGAAGATTATGTGATTGTTTACTGTGATTTTTGGTAAACAACCACTGGTCTATCAATTTGGGATGAAATTGACAAACTTGCAGGATCGACCATACTAAATCCTAGGACATGTGCTAAGCATGTAAGGGTGAGATTCTACTTTCGACCGGGTAAAGGCAAGAATGTAAAGTGCAATGATGTAAAAAGCTGTGGAAAGTAAAGCTGAAAGTAAATGTCTTTAAAATAACAACTGTAATGTAAAGGCGAAAAGACTACTGCCAAACTCCACGTTTGACGTAATTCCTTTGAAAAACTAAATGACTTTTGAGAATAAAGATGCGAGTAAGTAAATGGCTTGGAAAATAACTCTAATCAGAACTCCACGTTTGACTATGGGGTCTTTGCAAAGTAAATGGGCAGAAAAGTATAAAGGGCAGTTTTGAATATAAAAACTGAAAGTTAAAAATGGCAAGTGAATTTTAAAGACAAATTGCATTGATAAGAAAATGTTTGGTGTTGTATCACGTACATTCTCGTTAACTCGTTTCTCTATACGCGAGTACTTTCAGTGTGTATGAAATAGTACAATAATGAATGAGCACCCCTTATTACATAAAATTTACACCTATTTATAGTGCTATAAAATAACTACTACTTGGCGGTTGAGACTTCATAGCATACTCTTTTGGCGCTTATTTGTTCTTCTAATCGCTCACACGTTCTTTTCTACTTGATTTGAATTTTGAATATTTGGCAATTCCCTCCAATTTGGCGAAACCGTATCCGTGTTCTCCTTAGCATGGTCTTCGTCGAGCATTTTCCAACACTTAGCGTTTTTTGGCCCCTTTTTCATCTTTCTTTGACTTAAAGCTTTCCTTGATTGGGTCGAAACCTCCCATATACCAAGTATTAATAATTTTGACCTAAGATAGCTCTGGTTTCGACTAGGATCGAAAATTAGGAGCCAAAAAATTGCCCCAAAAAATTGTCCTTTCGCTAGTCTTGGCTAGGAAGGTCAATTTTTTTTATTGTTTTTGACACGCGTCACTTTGCATGTCTCTGATTGAACTCCAACTATTTGTTTAGTGGCATAACTGTTCAGTTCTTTTCTTCCATGCTCATGACATTACACCATTATGATAAATCCTCAAACGTCTTTTCATCCGTATTTATCATCACTTTGTCTTGAAAACATGCATTTGTAGTCTGACCATAACTGCCTACACGCATCCTCTTTCTTTAAACCAACATGTGTCCCACTGCTTGATTTTTTTAACGGTGGATTTTGCCCCTTTGGGATTTTCAAACGTTTATTAATACCTCTCCTCACCGTTTCTTGAAAAAAATTTACTCTTCAGAATTTTAAACGTCCTACATCTTTCTCTAGCTTTCTTCATCGCGTTCAGAAAGAAAACCCATATCACTTTCAAACACCAACAATGACTTCTTCCCAATCCGCTGCTCAGGAGAAGAAAACTCAGAAAGTACGCGCTACCCAAACCAAACAAACCATTCCCTCTTTCATAAACCTGGCTAACCTTCACTTGGTGGAGAATCGTCCATGTGTTTCGGAACCCACCTCCGAGACCGCTAAGAGCATCTATCATTCTCAGGTAATGATTCCTTTGATTGTTTCAGGTAAACCCTACACAATATCCGGTCCTTTAGCACAAGTTGACCTTTTTGATGCACGACTAAGTGAATTTCTACCATCTTACCGAAGAACTAGGCCATTAGGGCAAAAAAGTTTCCCTGCACCTTTTACCGGTATTGTTGACTCTACTCCATTGCCAACTTTTGACCTTGGCTACCTTGCTGATGGTACTCGTTTACTAAGATTCATTAGTCCCCTGAAGGATTTTGACCTCTGGATGGCCAAAGTAAAGAAAGTTAAGGCTGATCACTAGAAAGCTATAGGGATTTATGATCTTTTAATGTTTCCGAAGGCTCATTTTCCATACTGTTTAAATTTACTGGTGGCCTTGTTATATTTCTGGGATAGTACCCATTATACGTTTCACTTACCATGTGGGATGGTTTCTCCTACACTTTTCGACATAGCCGCTATCACCGGCCTTCGTCCCGACGATGTCTCTTACCAACCTGATGTTGATGCTGAAGACTATGTCAACATCCCCACCTCTAAACTCACCTACACTCATTTCGTCAACTACCACTTTAACCAAATTACTGAGAGTGTGTCTGACGAAGAGCACGTGGCGTTTCTCGCCATGTGGCTGTCAAGATATGTATTATGTACCAAGTCTCTACAGGTAGCCAAGAAATACCTACCTCTTGCCAATCAACTACACCACAACAAAGGTGTTTGCCTAAGTGAACTTATTCTGGCGACCCTTTATGAATCCTTGAGTGAAACGACTTCTCGACTGAAGCGTCTAAAAGCCCGTGAATCTGTATCTTTGGCTGGTCCTCTGTGGTTGCTTCAACTATGGTTGAATGCTACCTTCGAGACTAGCTTTCCTAGAAGAGGACCAGTTGTCGAAATGTCTGCTGAGATTGAAGGGAGGCGCGTCGAATGGCCTCGT